TAATACAAATTAAACTTGCATAGAATTTAATATAATAGTGTATCTCCTAATAAAACTGTCGTGTTAATGATGCTACATTCAATTTGTCCTGTTGGAATGCCACTTTCAAGTCCAAATGGCATCTTTAACTAAGACCCTTCATCATTTCCTGAATATTTACTAAGGGTCACTAAACCCAGTGCTAGAGAAATACAAAGCCAGGAATCTGCCTTCAATGAGCAGTGATGGGGACAGTAAGAGGTCCCACACAGTAAAGTAACTCATGAGTCATAGAGGTGGCTGTGGTGGACATAACCCTAGTTACTCAGGGGTTGAGGCAGGAGGGCTCAAACGAGGTCAGTTTTAGACAGACCCTGCCTCAAAGTAAAAATAAAAAGGGCTGGAAATATAGCTTAGTAGTATCCTCTGTCTGTCTGTCTGTCTGTCTGTCTGTCTCTGTCTCTGTCGAAACAGGGTTTCTCTGTGTAGCTCTGGCTGTCATGGAACTCACTCCATAGACCAGGCCACCACCGGGCAGGTGGTATATAGTTTATGTACTATTTGGCCTTGGGTTCACTCTCCAATATCTCCAAAAGAAGACCAATGTTTAAAAGAAGCATTCCATGAATAAGCATTAAGTAGTGCTAATAGAACCTGGATGCTGCTCCTGCAGCTCCTTGATCCACCTCCCTTCTGAGAAATCCCCTGTACTAGTTCTGACTTCCCGAATGAGTGACAGAACATTCACCTTAACCCGATTCTGTTCCAGGTGACAATTCTCCTTCTCTTCCAGTTCCTGCTTAATGCTGCAGGGGCCCAGCCCGTCAGAACTCATCTTTCCAAGCCACTGGATATTGGTTAAGCTGTTGTCCAGCGTGCAGCCTGCCGCTTCACCACCAGCTAGAGGGAAAACCCGAGACTCCATTAGCAGCCTCTTCAGCTGCCCTGCAACTCTGCCAAAATTAATGGTTGGGGATAACCCCTGTAGGACCTGTGCTCTAAGGGACAGGGAACACATGGTAAATCGTTGTGGCTCTAAGTTGTTCTGCTCCATCATGGACATTCATGAACAATAAATTGCATTTCAATGAGCCAGAAGGAACCTTAGGCATCTGTCAAGGGAAATTTTGGATAGCTATACAAAAGTTACTTTTCTTCCCTGGGCTTCAGTTTATTACTTTAAAATGGAAATTTACTTCCTTACATATTTGAATAAGAATGGCCCCCACAGGCACATAGATTTGAAAGCTTAGCCACCAGTGAGTGGTAATACTTGAAATGATTAGAAGGATTAGGGAATGTGGCATTGTTAGAGGAAATGTGCCACTGGGGGTGGGCTTTGAGAAAAGAAGTCCATGCCAGACCCAGGGTCTTTCTGTCTCTCTTGACCCATATCAGGATGTAGCTCTAAGCTACTGCTCCAGTGCCTGCCTGCATGCTGCCATGCTTCCCACCATGTTGATAATGGACTAAACCTCTGGAAGTGTAAGCAAAGGATGCTTTCTTGTATAAAAGTTGCCTTGGCCGTGGTGTGTCTTTAGAGTAACAACAGGACAGTCACTAAGACACATGTCAATACAAAGAATCAACCAACCAACCAACCCTTTTCCAACATAAAGAGAACAATAGTAATGCTACATTACTGTAACCATGTCAACTGTACCCAGGCGTTTCAATGTTCAAAGAATAAAGAAAAGCCTTCACCTCGGTTCCTCCTAGACTCCTATCTACCACAGACATCAGCATGACTGACTGAAGACCTTTCCACCCATCTGCCTGGCAGACCACATACCACAGCTTTCCTGTCTTTGCCTCGGGAGGGCTCCAGGTGGCTTGGGCACAGGCACACCCTTAGCTGCTGGCTTTGGTCCCAACGTCTCAGTGACCACTTCTGTTCTCTTGGAATCATTGCTGGTTTGGGCTTGAGGCTGAGGATCAGAAGGGTGAGAGGCACCCCCAGAGCTGATGAGGATGAACTTGTTGGGTCCACTGCTGCCACTCTCTTTCCCTTTGGCAGTTAGTGCTGTGATGATGCTCTGGATATCAGCATTGTTGGGGATAGCCACCACTTGTGTGTTGGGCATGGTGGGGTGGTTGATAATCTTGATGCCCGTTGGAAATTTGCAAGAGCTGGACTCTGCCACCTCTTGGGACGCCTGTGCTTGAGTAGGCTCCTGCTGGGCAGGGGATCTCTTTGCTTCTTCCTCTGATGTTTCACTCGGGGCATTTTGAACAGGAAGGGGCAGCCTCCGTCTTTTGAGAATCAGTGGCCGACGGGGGCTAGTTCTCATCATGAAGCTGAGCTTTCACTCTCCATTGAGAATCGCAAGCTTTGACCCTGCAGAGGGCAAGGGGAAGCTCGCTGTCACATCTGCTGCCTGAGAAACTACAAGTGTTCCTCTCCATGAACAGCCAAAAGCAGAAGCTCTAAGGCCCAGGGGAGTGCTGCCTGGACCTTTGTCAAACTCTCAGACAATAAGGACAGAAGCTAGAAGCTAGGTTTGATGTACACTTGCAACCCCAGCACCTACAAGGTTCAAAGTCACCCTTAGCCAGAGAGTGAATTCAAAGTCAGCATGGACCACATGAGATCCTGTCTCAAAACCAAACATACAAATAAATTAATAAATAAATAGATAGATAGAGCCCTATTACTGACCAAGGAATGCTAACAATTGCAGCAAACACTTCAAGATGGGAATATGGGACTGGACTGGAGTCAGTGGTCCCCCTGGAACCTTAAGAATGTTTGGCCAGGCTGAGGATGTTGCTTAGTGATACAATGCTTGCTTAGAAAGGCCCTAGGTTCAGTTCTCAGTATTACAAAAAGGCAAACAAGACAAAGATCGGGGGTGGGGGGGGTTGCTGGCAAGGTGGTAACTGGCTCAGTTATTGAAACCATCAGCTGCTAAGCCTGGCCACCTGAATTCAATCCCCAGGACTACAATGGTGAAAGGAGAGAATCAGCTCCCGACTGTTCCCTCCAACCTCTATGTATGTCCTATATGGCATGTGGGCAAATACCACCCCAACCCCCAGTAAAAATGTAAAAACATTTTTTAAAACATTTGGCCAGAGGACTATGTGAGACATCTACAAGAATGTGGAAATGCCTGCCACTGTCCACTAGAATTCAGGTCACTTGCGATGGCCATAGAGAGGATGAAAGAGGCTGGGGTGGGTAAACAAGCAGCAATTAGGAGTCCTGACAACACTGCATCCCTTTGTATGATAATGGCTTGGCCCGTTTACATCTTGCAGGTCACAGGTTCAGTGCATAGAGGCAGGAGGTCCTGTTGCCCCAAAACTGGTGAGATCAACCCCTAGTGTGCAAGATCTCAGACAAAAGGGGGGGGGGAGAACTTCCTTACTTATGGCTCCCAGCAAAGTTGTGCAAAGTGTGCAGTCTCATTCCACACTTTCCAGTACTGTGACTGAACTCAGGGTACACACAGTAGGCTAGGACTCTACCCCTGAGCTATCCCCTAGTGCTCTTTTCTGTCAGTCTCAAATAACGCAGCCGACCTTAAACTTCTGATTCTCCTGCCTCCACCTGCTAGAATCACAGGTGCGGCTACAATGCCAGGTTTAGGTGGTGGTGGGGATTGAACCTGGGGCTTTGTGAATGCCTGGTAAGCCCTCTACAATAAAAATCCCAATCCTCTTGAATTAAAAGAGAAAAGATTTTCAAGAGCTGTCATTAACCACCGAGCCATCTCTCCAGCCCCATTACATTCATTTTTCTGAAAAATGTATTTTTCTTCCTTTCAAATTCGGCAAAGCATTTGCAAAGTGACATTTTGGTACTTGAAAGTAACTACATTTTAGTTTTGTAAGTATAATACGGTATGTACCTTCATTTTCTGCTTCTAAAGATTGTAATACCGATCTCCATACCAAGATGTGCTAAAATTAATATGTTTAAGGTGGCTTTTATATTTGAGACAGAGTCTCATGTAGCCCAGGGTGGCTTTGAACCGCTGAGCCTCTGGCCTCCAATTTTCTAGTTGCTGAGATTACAGGCATTCACCACTATGCCTGGCTATGCTAAAGTGGCTTTGAAACGCTAAGAAAAGAAGTCTTTAGAAAAAAAGCATTTCATAGATTTTTATAGGCATATAGAATAATTTATCATTAAGTTAAATCCTGTCACTCTATTTTGCGATCCTGTGAGAAACAGAGAAAGCACCTGTCCCTTTAGGACACCTGCCAAAAAAGGATTACATGTTTTTGACATTTGCCAGCTGCTTAAAGTTCTCAGGTCCCTTCCACCCTGTTGCTTTCTTTAAACTCCGTTCTCTCGACCTTCAAATCTCAGTTTTAGTTTTGCTTCACATTGCACCCCACCCCAATCAAATGGCAGACACTCCCACCATAGGGTATCTCTCTTTGATCAGCCTTTTCCTAACACTCTCAATATCTCCTAGTGGAGGGCGACTTGCAGAGCCACCCCCAACGATCTCATTCTCCACACAGAACAGGGAACTTTGCAACACTCAGCTAGGATCCCGCCCTGCAGCAGTGGAGGCGGAGGCAGGGACGACTGCAAGTGCAGACTCCGAGGGCAGGCCTGTTCCCAGGGTCCCGGGATTCTCGGAGAACGCGGCGGGAAGGCCGAGGCCGGGGGTCTCAGACCTTCTTCCCGGCGGTCCCCAACACCCCCTCGCGCCCCACAGCCCCGGCAGTCCCGACTCCCAGCCCTCCCCCGTCCCGGCCGCACCCCACTCACCTCACAGGCCGCGGCTGCTCCACGCGGGGCCGAGCCAGGCCCGGGCGGCAGGTCCCGGCGGCACGGCCGGGATGGGAGCCCGGGGCGGGGTGAGGGCTGAGCCCGGGCCGGGCGTGAGTCCCACAGCGCCGCTTTCAGTTGTTCCGCTGTTTGAAATTGGCGCCGGCGGAGCGTTGCGGTCACGTGACGGAGCGTCGCCAATCGGCACCGGCTTGTCTCCGGGTTCCGGCCCCGAACGCTCGGCGTCCTGAGGAACGGCGGCCGCGGCCGGGAGGGCGGGTAAGGCGTCCCCGGGGCTCGAGGGGCGGCGGGAGGGACGCGGGGACTCGCGGACGGCGGCCAGCAGCCTGCTCCGCCCCGCCCCGGACCGCCCTGCCTCCCTGGTTGACTTCCTTCCGGGACGGCGAACGCCACTCCCCCGGTTAGCTACCCACTCTGCGACCCCTGCGTCCCCCGCCTGGCTCAGCCCTCGCGGCTGCCTGGGGTCCGGCTTGGCTTTCTGCCCTAGACTTGCGGTTACGAGCCTACGCCCCGCCCCCGTCTGTGGCCGCCTCCTCCGCGGGCCCTGCCCCGAGGTGTCCAGACAATCATTTATTCCCTCGACAGACATTAATAGAGTGGCAGACCCGGGCATCCTTCCCCTGGGCTCACCGTCTGATGGCGAGGGAGCACAGAATGAGATAAACAGATCGGTAGAATTCTAGCTACACAGGAACAAGTTAGAGGCCGGTGGGTTTTGTCTGACACTAGGTCTCCCCCTGTGTAGAATTCTCGATCCTCGTGTTTCCGCCTTCGGAGGAGCCGGAGGTCACTGGCTCGCCCTCTCGCAGCCTCCTGTGATAACTTTGAATATTTATTTTAATGAGAAAATCTTGACTTAGGACAGGAAAGCTTTTCTTTTTCTTTTCTTTAAAATGAGCTGAGAATAGGGTGTAAGATCTGTTACTCATTACACAGAAGGGAGAGAAACCTTGAAGGGATAGATTAAGAACTGTTTTGACTGGAGGAGGCCTGGTGAATACAAAGGCTGAAGGTCACGGGGATTTGAACTAAGGGAGTGAGGTATGCTATGAGACAGGAAGCAGAGCCTTCGCCTTTCTGAATTTTGTTCTTATCTAATAATTAAAGGAACCCAGTCAAAAGTTGTAATCAGCTAGGCGTGTGGCACATACCAGTAATCCTGGTGTGACACAAAAGGGTCTCACAAGCAGGCTAGTCGAGGCTACATAATAAGACTATTTGAAAAGTGCACGGAGTGTGGTGGCTCACGCCTTTAATCCCAGCACCCAGGAGGCAGAGGCAGGCAGATCTCTGTGAGTTCCAGGCCAGCCAGGTCTACATAGCGAGCCCCAGGTTAGCCAAGACTATATAGTGAGACTACCTCAAAATTAATAAAAATAGGCAAAGGTTGAGCAGAAGTGAGCCAAAACCTGGCTTAGATTTTGTTTGGGTGCATCTATAAGAGATTATTTTGATTAGACTGAGATGGGATGTGGCCCCATTTCATGGGCTGTGGTCCTGGACTGACTAAGAGCAAGCTGAGCTGGAGAATTCATCTGCTTCCTGCCTGCTTAAGTGTACCCAGCTGCCTTCAAGTTCCAGCTGCTATGACTCCCCAACACGAAGGACTGTACCCTGGAACTGTAAGCCAAAATAAGCCCTTTCCTTAACTTGCCTTCCCAGGAAATTTTATGACGGCAACAGAAAAAGCACCTAAACCAGCCAGGCATGCCTGCGATCCCAGCACGTGGGAGACGACATCGTGCATTGGAAGCCAGCAAGGCTATTCAGACCCTGTCTCACAAAAGCCAAAATCATTATAAGAGGGCTGGTATACAGCCAAGTGGTGCCGTTATTGCCTAACACGCTGAGGCCTGGGGTTCAGTCTGAAAACTGGAAAGAATATATTTTCTTCAAAATCATGCAAGGGTAGGGAAATTGATAGGTCCACATGGTTAGGGTTGAACCAGCTGGCTGCTAAGTACGCGGGGCTCAGTTGACGGCAATTCATATGCTAGAGAATCTGTGGGCTGTTTCCTTTTGTTGTTTTTTGTCTTTTAAACAAAACCTAGATGCTGTCACAAGCTTCTATTTGACAATCTCTAGTGGTTACTCAGCCCAGCCCCACACTCATGTGGCCTCACCTGGTTTTCAGACTCTAATGTTGACCCTATGTCTAATATATATATATTTTTTTGTCATTCATCTTTTTTCTTTTTAAATAGGGTCTCACTTTGTATCTCCTACTGGCATGGAACTCACTAGATAGACCAGGTTGACCTCCAGCTCAGAGAAATCTGCCTCCTGAATGCTGGGATTTAAGATGGATGTCCCCACACCTAGCCTCTTTTCCTTGTTTATTTTGTTAGCCAGATGTGTGTGAGGACACATGCATGTGAGGGGAACTCATGCCATACATGTGGATGTCAAAGGATATCTTTTGGGAATTGGTTTGGGCCTTCTACCTTTTTTTTGAGTTCTGGGGATCAAACTCGAGCCCTTGATTTTTGAGGTCTCTCTCTCTCTCTCTCTCTCTCTCTCTCTCTCTCTCTCTTTCTTTCTTAAAAATAAATATTTATTTATTTATTTCATATATGTGAGTCTGCTGTGTTTAGACACAGCAGGAGAGGGCATTGGATCCCCATTAATTACAGATGGTTGTGAGACACCATGTGGTTGCTGGGAATTGAACTCAGGACCTCTGAAAGAGCGGTCAGTGCTCCTAACCTCTGAGCCATCTCTCCAGCCCCCAGGTTTTTTGTTTTTTGGGTTTTTTTTTTTATGCTGCTGAGCTGTCTCTTATACTCTACAATGTGCTTGTAATGTCTGAATTCACAAGACAGGTTTTTTGTTGTCTAAGATTTCATGTAACCCAGGGTGGTCTCTCGCTAGCCAAAGGCTACCTTGAGCTCCTGATCCTCCTGCCTCCCTTACTAAGGGCTGAGATCATGGACATGCCTCACCACATCCGGCTTGGCTTGGCTTTTGAGAGGTTTTTGTGTGTAGCCCAAGCTTGACTTGAACGCCTGATGTCTTGCCTCAGTTGGGCTAACCATGTTCCCCCGTGCCCAGCTCTAACCGTCTTTGCATGTGGTGTTCCTCAGCCTCTAGTGACTGTCCTGCTTTTGATTCACCCAGCTCTTCTCCTACAGGTCAGGTGTCTTCCTACCCAGAAAGCCTTCTCTGACGTGAACTGGAGCAAACCGTACCGTACTGAGATGTGATTGGTCCCTTCTGGTCAGCTCCCTTCTCCTTCTTTTCCTCCTTCCTTCCCACCATTCCCTCTTTTGCAGTTCTGGGGACTGAAACCTAAGGCTTTGTGCACATTAGGCAACTGCTGTACCACTGTGCCTCAAAAACAGGGACTATCACTACAGGTATCACTACAGGTGCTTAGTACTCAGTACTGTGAATAAGTACTTGCCCATCTTTAATTCCTGGCACTCAGCAGATGCTCATTGAATGAGTTTTGTTGATATGGATAAAATAGTGTAGGAAGCTGTTTTCCCTACAACCTGAGATCTGATTGGTAGTTTCTGGTAGATTGGTTAACCTGATGTCATGAAGAATTGGGGGAGGGGGTGTCACCCACATGATCCCCCCCTTTTGTGTCTTCTCTCCAGGCATGGTTTGCAACTGGACCCTGACCCAGACCAGGAAGGCAGCCTGCATCATGTGGTTGCTAACTGCTCTTCATTTACCTATTGATGCCTCCCAAAAAGAGACGCAGACAGTCCCAGAAAGCCCCGCTGCTGTTCCACCAACAGCCACTGGAGGGCCCCAAACACCATTATGAGTCTCGCCAGCAGCCCATTACCCACACTGTACAGGTGCCCTGCAAGCCCATTGATCAGAGCGCCATCACTTCCTGGGTAGGTCCTGGCAATTCTTTGACCTTTACTGTGTTGGGGTTTTCAGAATACTGGCTCGTAATCCTTTTGGAGCAGGGACAGTGAAATAGTTACTCTTCTTGGCTGTGGTATTGCCTGATTTATCCTCTTTTCTTCCTTCACACCAAAATATGCATTATCTGGAACTGGAGTCTTCCCTTCCAGGTTCCTCTGAAAAGTTCTGATTGGACACTTTACTACCCAGTAGCTGTGTGAAGAAGCTAGAAAGATAACAAATTTATAAAAGATTATTTCCTGCATTTCATATGAAAAGTACTAGGTCTGACTAAAAAAGTACGAGTTGACTGAACCTTAGTGGAGAAAACTCCTTTAAAAATGACATGCTAATCCATGCTAATCTATGCAAATCCAGCCTTTGGGAGGCTGAGGCAGAAGGATCCCAAAGTGAAGGCCGCCCCGGACTTTATGGTGAGACTGTCTAACAAAAGAAATCCCTAAGCACTGATTGAGTAAACAGGTGTATTAGACCCCACTCCTCAGCAGCCACTTCCATGGAGCTGCCCTTCAGTATTTGCTGAAGACCTTCTGCCAGGCCTTGGAAATAAGTCTATTTGTCCTTGCTCTCCTGAGGACTTTATTTTTCTGAGGACTGAACTGAGTCTGCTGAGCATGGGTTCTGCCCCCAAGGATCCTTCCAGCCCTGCTCTCAGGAAGTGTAAGGACAGAGTTAAACAAGGGATGGCAGTGCAGTGTGGTGATGAGCGAGGCCTGCTCTCCTCTCCTCCTCAGGAGCAACCTGAAGGGCAGGGCGATTGGCTAGCTGGCCCAGGTCTCTTGCCTACTTGTACCAATAGCTGGTTGGGTGTTTGTCCTTTACTGTAGTGAGTCCTCACTATTCTGGACAAAAATAAAGGATCGTACACATTTACTCTTCTTTGTGGTTGGCTCACCACCACCATTTTTTTTTTTTTTAAATGCACAGGTATTACCTCAGTTTGATACAACAGCAGAAAGCCGGTTTCCAATACACCGGAAACATCCCCGAGACCGGGCAAGACATCCAACTCGGAGATCTACCTGCAAATTTCCACGTCTAATCTTTGAGAGTCCACAGTCTTCCAATTCAGAGACATTGTTGTTATCCAACAGAGAGCAGCCCCAGAACTCAGAAAAGGACACACCCAGAAGGCCTTTAGTGCCATTGTTCAGTCCCCAGAGCGGTGGGGAACTGTCAGTGCATGTACCTCAAAGCTTACCTCATGTGTTCATGCCCCCTGATATCCAGACCCCGGAGTCTTCTGTAAGAGAAGAGCCCATTTCTCCAGACCAGAAGGAAAACAGTCTTCCAAGCTCCATCCTTGGCCCTAGGACTCCCAGCAGTCCAGAGCCAGGGCCTGTTCTGGTCAAGGACACCCCTGAGGAGAAGTACGGGATTAAGGTCACGTGGAGACGCAGAAGGCACCTGTTTACCTACCTTAAAGAGAGGGGGAAGTTGGATAAAAGCCAGTTCCTTGTGAAGACCTGACTGGACTGCACAGACTTCAGTTCATCCCAAAGCTGCTGTGGGGAGGTTTCTCAAGTCACTTTTGGTTTGAAAGGATGAAATGGAAGGAACATCAGTAGGAAGAGACTTAGCCAGAGGCCTAGAGTTGGAATCCAGCTTCTAGATTTGCTTTTTAAGCCACCTTGCATCAGGAATAGTTGGATTTAGTGTCATGAACTGTTGGTATTTTTCTCACATTAGCTGTTTAAGCCTCTGAAGTATCTTGTACTGTTTACAATGTTTGTAAATAAATGGCTGCCCTGAGTTTTTAGAGAACCCCACCTTCGTCAGTGATGCGGCCACACGCCCATCTGTAAAAGGTCTATGCTCATTAGTCTTCTGCCTCCAACTAATTCAGTCCACATTTTTGGTACCGATGGTGAGGCCCAGCGACAGCTTTGCTGATAGAAAAGTCAGGAGTAAGCTCTTTAATGGTCGACAGCTTTGGCTCCTCTGCTCAAAGGGCCACAGGCCAGGCCTGTGCTGGTGAACACAGCAGGGTCAGGGAGACCAGGGACAGAAGAGTCGCTTAGGCTTGTGTTTTGAGATTGTGTTCACAGTGGAAGAAGTGTGGTGCTATCATGTGGTGGAGAAATGAATTCCTATGAGTAACTTGTCCTATGTGTACATAAACTGTACATTCTAGTGTGGTTAACGTGGGCCTGCCTGACTCAGTGGTCCTCTTACTCATTCAAATAGCATCTCTTTCAACCCTACTCGTTTAGCATCTAACCCCTTCTAGGCCAAGCAAACCTTACGTTGCCCTTATATGAGTGAAGATTTGTAGCACAAAAAAATGAAACAATCCAGGGTCACACAGGGAGGGAGACTGAGTGAGTGCAACGTTCTGCTCTCAGCCTATGTATGCAGGTATCGTATTCCCTAGTTTTCAAAAATTAATTCCTGGGACATGGAGAGGTGGCTCAGCAGTTATGAGCCCTAGATGCCCAGAAGACATGAGTTCTATTCCCAGCACCCACATGGTGACTCACAGTCATCGATAACTCCAGTTCCAGGGTATCTGGCAGCTTTGGGCACCAGGGATGCATATGATATGCAGACATACTCACAGGTGAAACATACATATACATATAATAGCCTGGGGCATGATGGCACATGCCTTTAATTCTAGCACTAGGTCGACAGAGGCAGTGGGATCCTAGAGTTCCAGACCAGCCGAGGACTGTATAGTGAGCTCCGGTCTCAAATACATTATTAAGTGAATTTTTCGATTCAACATCAGTGTGACTTTGGCCTTACTAATTAAGTCTGTATGCTGTAGTTCTGGTCGTAAAGTCTTATAGTGACCAGAGCTACAAAGGCACTGGTGGCTGGAGGCATTGATTTACTGCAGAGAGGACAGCCTAGCAGCTACCCTCAGTGAATAAGGACATTTGAAGATGGTCCCCAGATAGGGATCCCTCAGCCGAGGTTTGAGAGGCTGAAGGCCTCAGGATCCCGGAGTCTGTGTGGTCAGACTGCGAGGCTTCAGAGGTTCAAAAACCCTGGGACCACACCCTGGCAGCACCCTGGGTATTCTCAGTGCCACAGTGGGGTGCTGGGAATCGCACTGTGGGGGAGCGGCCCCCGGAGTGGAGTAGCTGAATACTCCAAAGAGAGCCAGCTTCCACCCAGCCCCAGGGGCTGCTCCCTGCTCTAGCGCAGGCGCCTTCGCCTCCCAGTGCCTCCCGCCCCCCTGGAAACCCTCCAGCATCGTGGCTAGCGCCATTTGCCAGTGAGTGGGGAGCGGAGGGCACTGGACCAATGGGCGTCGGCGACAGTGCGGGGTGTGGTTGCCAGGGGCGGGGCCCGACCTCCTCCATCCTCTCCAGCAGGGCGGCGGCGTCTCGGGGTCTGGACGCTGATGCCACCGGTCGGGCTGGTATGGAGGCGGCGCGCTGCGCACCCGGACCCCGCGGGGACAGGTCAGGCGGCGGAGGGGCGGGCTGGGGTCTCCAGGGTGGAAGGGCAAGGGCAGAGGCCAGGATCGGGTCCCCAGGCTGGGCAGGCGCTGTGCACACCCCAGAACTCTCTCGAGTCGCTCTTCTGGAGTTTACCCCGAACCCGCTCGTCCTGCTTCCCTAGGGCCTCCGATTCCCTCACTTGCAGTGCGCTGTGCATCCCGCGCCGCCAGCACTCTCGAGCCGCTCCCCTGGAGTTTACCCCAGACCAGCTCGCCCGCTCCCCTAGGGTCTGGATTCCCTCCCTTGCAATGCGCTCGCCCTTCTCCGAGTCTCTCTCGAGTTGGGTCAGAACTGAGCTGGAAGGAGAGCATTCCTGGGAGTCGAACCGGAAGGTCGCGGGTGATGGTTAATTGGTTCCAAGGCCGTTGCTTTTGGCAGTCATTGCGGAATTCTGGAACGAGTCCGAGAGCTGAAAAATGCAAAACTGTTCTTTTCTTCTTTCTTCCTTCCCCTGAGTTTCAGGAGTTCTTTCAATCAGGTCTGTCTTAGTTTTGACTGTTCCATACTCTTGTTCTCTTGTTCGTGCCTCCGGCTTCTCTACCAAGACCCCTCTTTTTGCCTGGTTCACAGAGTGAGCTTGGGAGAACAAACGGGCTGCAATCTCAGCCTGTTCATTTCTCGTCAGCTAGGTTAACGAAAAGTTAATGGGGGGGCCGTGTGAAATCACTGGCTCAAAACTTTGGCATTGTGTGAGGATTGAAACCAAGCACGCCGACTGCATTCTTCCTTACCATTCCATTACCACAGCAGATAAAGACTTGGCGTGTAAACTAGTTTAAACTAGTTTTTAACGGGTCCGAAACGATCTTTTAAAAAGTTTCAAAGACGGAATAGAGACCCCACTCTCCCTTGGTCTCATACAGACTAAGCTTCCCTCAAACTAGATAATAAGGATGACTGAACATTTGTTCCCTACCTCTGCCTCTCAAGGCTGATCTGTTTTCATCTTTCATCAAATAAATTCTATAAACATGATAGCTGCTCTCTGAAATTTGTTTACAACTACCCCCTCCACCTTGGGAACAGAAAATACATTTACAAGTATAAGGTCGGGTTAGTAACGTTAGTATTCAACGTGTCCGGTTGAAATCAGAGGATATCTCATTCAGTTGAGGGATTTAGTTTTTAACTAAATAATTTTAGAGAAGTAAATTTTATAGGGGTGTAATTTTATATTTGATAGGTCTTATGTAGCAGGACATTTAAGCCAGGCTAGCTTCGAACTCAGAGATCCATCTGTCTCTGCCTTCCATGACTCATGATTTTAGGGAACAAGGACTTGACTTTGAAATTGGGACCAGCTGGCAGTTATTTTTTTCATCTCCTGGACTTGAAACTTAAAGGAGTAATTTTAAGGTCTTCCCTCCCACCCCCACCCACTCCCCACTTTTTCTTCCAAAGAAAGAAACCGGCTCTAATTTCCAGTTGATTGACAGGGAAGGAGCCTGTGTGAGCCCCTAGTTTCTCCTGCCCTAGGTAGAGCATGCAGTGTCTGTCACTGTTTAACTCATCTGTTGCTAAAAGCCAGTGAATGTCTTGCTTTTTAGGTAGTCATTAATAGTTTTTTGAGAGAGACTGACTTGACTGAATGTCAGTATAATCCAGTAATCCAGGCTAGCCTCAAACTCAAAATCCTCCCTGCCTGAGTCTCCCAGGTGTTTCATGTAGGCATGTATCACCAAGCCTAGATGTACTTGTGTACTAGGTATGTTTCCCTCCCTTTCCCCCTCTTCCTCTCTCTCCTCCCACTCAAGTTTAAAATTTTCTTTACATCCTGACCAAAGTTTCCCCTGCCCCACTCCCCTCCCAGCATCATCCTCCCCTCTCACCCCTCCCCCCATCCACTCCTCCCTTTCTCTTCAGAAAAGGGCAGGCCTCCCATGGATGTCAACCAGCCATGACATATCAAGTTGCAGTGAGACTAGGCACCTCCTCTACTATTAAGGCTGGAGGAGGCATCCCAGTAGGAGGAAAGGGTCCCCAAATCAGGTAACAGAGTCAGAACCAGCCCCTGCTCCCACTGTTAGGAGTCCTATAAAAAGACCAAGATACCCAACTGTAACATGTGCAGAGAGCCTAGGTCAGTCCCATGCAGGCTCCCTGGTTGGGGGTTCAGTCTCTGTGAGCCCCTCAGAACCCAGGTTAGTTGATTCTGTTGGTTTTCTTTTCCTTGACCCCTCTGTCTTCTTCAATCCTTCCTCTCTCCCACAGAATTCCCTAAGCTCCACCCAGTGTTTAGCCGTGGGTCTCTGTATGTTTCCCTCAGTTGCTAGGTGAAGCCTCTCTGAAGATGGTTATGCTAGGCACCTGTCTGCAAGTATAGCAAACAGACTATCATTAACAGTGTCAGGGGTGATCTCTGTGTCATGGCCTGGGGCTCAGGCTGGACTGGTCACTGCTTGTCCGTTCCATCTACCTCTGCTCCATCTTCAACCCCGCACATCCTACAGGCAGGTCCAAGGCTTGGTGGCTGGGTTGGTGTCCCCATCCCTCCACTAGAAGTCTCGCCTGGTTACCTGGTTACCGGAGAAGCCCAGTTCAGGCTCCATATCCGCCATTGTTAGGAGACTTAGCTAGGTTAGATTCCTGGGAGTTTCCATTACACTAGGTTTCTAGTTCACCTCAGAGATGCCACCTCTCCCCCCATTCCAGTTGTCTCTCTTAGTACTCTCTCCCTCAATCCTCCCCCAATTTGATCCCTCCTGTTCCTATCTCCATCCCTCCATCAAGAACAACCCTTCTGCCCCCATACCCCACCCCAAATAAAGCAGCCACGAACATAGTTGAGCAAGTATCCTTGTGGTCTATCCTTGTGTACGTTTGAGCATCCTTTGGGTATATACTCAGGAGTCCTAAGGTAGTTGGGTCTTGAGGTTGATCGATTCCCAATTTTCTGAAAATAACCAGTGTAACTGATTTCCAAAGCGGCTGTACAAGTTTGCACTCCCATTGTCGGTGAAGGAGTGTGCCTCTTACTCCAGATCCTCACCAGCATGAGCTGTCACGTTTTTGATCTCAGCCATTTTGACAGGTGTAAGATGGACTCTCAGAGCTGTTTGCTGTGCGTTTCCCTGATGGGTAAAGATGCTGAATACTTCTTTAAGTGCTTCTCGGCCATTAGAGATTGCTCTGTCAAAATTATGTTTAGATCTTTACCTCATTTTAAAGTTGGATTATTTGGTTTCTTGATGTCTGGTTTCTTGAGTTCTTTATATACTTTAGATATCAGCCCTCTGTCGGATGTGGAGTTGATGAAGAACATCTCATCAGCCTTCTGTAGGCTGCTGTTTCGTCCTCTTGACGGTGTCCTTTGCCTTACAGAAGCTTTTCAGTTTTATGAGGTCCCATTTATTAAAGGTACTTATTCTTGCCAGGCATGGTGCTAGAATGCCTTTTAGTCCCAGCACCCAGAGGCATAGCCCAGGAGATCTCTGTGAGTTCAGGCCAGCCTGGCTTATACAGTGAGTTCCAGCATCGTCAGGGATATGTAGAGATAACCCAGTTCAAAAAACCCCAGTGCTGTGGAATCAGCTCTCTCCTTCCACATTAAGTGGGTCTGGGGACAGAACTCAGGTCACCAGATCTACACGGGAAGGGCCTGCTGAGACGTCTTTCCAGTTCCTGTACTTAAAAGTTTATGATGAAAGACTTGAATACAGATCTCCTCGTATTAATGCCTTTAGTTGTGTGGCTAACACCACCTAACTTTTTATATCTGAAATTGGCAGTGAAAATTGGAGACAGGCAGTAAAAGCACACTTAGGAACTTGGCTGTGCCTAGGCAGCTGATACTGCTAATTCCTCTGGGATAGCAGCTCAGGGTAGGCTTAGGCTGTCTCAACTTTTGCTAGCGATACTGGGGGTTGGGGGGTGGGGAGACGTGGTATATGGCTCAGGGACAGAGTGTTTGCTTGGCCTTTAGGAGGCTGTAGGCTTGATCTCAGCAGCACATATCCACAAGTATGCTTGTTAGTAATACAGAATGGAAGGCGTGTCAAGACCTTGTGATCTAGAATTGCTTAAGAAAGTATTGGTCTGCCCAGTATGGTTATGCATAGCTGCAGATTTAAGGTCAACTTGGATTATGTGGTGAGTTCCAGGACAGCCAGGACTACACAGGCCCTAACCCAGCCCATTAGATGTGATTTCTTTTTGGAAATAAAATACAAAACTTTGATATGGCCTGTGGACACCGATGTCCCCTTTGCCCTCTGCTTGTGGACAAGTCTATGCAAACCTACACACACACACACACACACACACACACACACACGAATACACACAAAGAAATAAAACTGAAGCCAGGCTGTGGTGGCGCACTCCTTTGATCCCAGAACTCAGGAGGCAGAAACAGGTTGATTTCTGAGTTCAAGGCCAGCTGGTCTACAGTGAGAGTTCCAGGACAGCCAGGGCTATATACACAGAACCCTTGTCTTGGGGGAAAAAAGGAAAGAAAGAGAGAAAGATGGAAAACTGGGCGAGGTGGGCAATCCTTTTTCTTTTTTCTTTTTTTTTTTGTTTGTTTTGTTTTGTTTTTTGTTTTCTCGAGACAGGGTTTCTCTGTGTAGTCCTGGCTGTCCTGGAACTCACTCTGTAGACCAGGCTGGCCTTGAACTCTGAAATCCACCTGCCTCTGCCTCCTGAGTGCTGGGATTAAAGGTGTGTGCCACCACCGCCCGGCAAGGTGGGCAATCCTAACACTGGGGAAATAGAAACCCCGAGTCAGGAGTCCGACTCAAGGCCAGCTTGAGCTATGTGAAATCCTGACTTAAAAGGACCCCCACTCACCCCCACTAGACGGGTGACACCCTGGTTAAGAGCGCATATTGCTCTTACAGAACATCTGTGTTTGGGTCACAGCACCTACATAGTGGCTCACAACCTCCATAATTCCAGTTCTTAGGATCCAGTGCCTCCTTCTGGCCTCCACAGACACACATGCAGGCAAAACACTCGTGCAT